TTGTTCATATGATGATTTATAAACTCAAATGAAAACAAAAATTTTATTTAATTATTTAATTAGTTTAGACCTATAAACACATCCCATCCCTCTTATCTATGCTAAAACTACCATTTCAGGCTAAACTCAGATGCTAACAGCTGTGCTAAATGCTAGGCTAGTTTAATGTCCAAGTGAAGGAAAGGGAACACAAACATGAATTTCTGTTTTGCTCTCCGTAGGCTAGCTAAACACTCAGACGTTGTGACGTTAGCCGAGGCTACTTGTCCTACACTTACGCTACATCACGTTAGCCAGGTGAGCCTAGGCATTTGCTGCTTGCTGTCACAAGTTCAAATAGAGCTACTATGATTCATGCTAGATGTGCACTAATTAAAGTCCAGGCTAAAGCTAACTAGTACTAGGCACTTTGTGGTTCTCAAACACCTCAAAGTCAAATATTGAAAGTTAGCGCTGATTTGAGGCGCAAGACAGAACATATTGACTTTATTAACGTTTAAATAAAACCACAAACCTTCCTGAAGCTGAGCCAAAGTGACAGCATGTTAAACTTCATTTCTACGAGATAACAAACTAATCAGATAGATCTGCTGCAGTGAGACGAACTGAGCAGTTAGCTCACGTAGCTGTTTGTTCTGTTGTGAAAGACAATATTGACACTACAATAAATCCAGCGGTGTCGATCTTTATTTTCTTGTTTTTGAGTAGCTGTGACCAACAAACACATCACACCCCTCTTTTCTATGTTAAAACTACCAATTCAGGCTAAACTTGGATGCTAATGGCTTCACTAAATGCTAGGCTAGTTTAATTTCCAAGTGAAGGAGGGGGAACACAAACTGTCACATAAATTCCTGTTTCTCTTCTCTCCTTAGGCTAGCTAAATGCTCTTCGGGCCAGAGGTTGTGATGTTAGGCCAGGCCACGAGTCCTACACTTACACTACAGTTAGCCAGGTTAGCCAGGTTAGCCTAGGTACTCTCTGCTAGCTGTTTTTAAGTTCAAATAGAGCTACTACAGTGCTAGGAGCTAGTTTGATTCATGCTAGCTGTGTGTTAGCCGTACATCCGGTTAAGTTTAGGCTAAAGCTAAAGTTGTTGCTTATACCCTGTCTCCTCTCTCTTCTTCTTCTCTTCTATCTTTCTCTGTGTAAAGTGCCCATTAATGGTAAGTGGTTAAATTTGGGGCTAACGGGGGGGACTCATGTTGGGTGTCTGTCACCACAGCGCATGGAGCCACACCCACCGCCCACTGTGATGTCATCATTTTGCTTCATTTTTACCCCTACGTGAAACTGTGACATCACAATCCCCAACCCCTCCCACTATTTCACCTCCAAACCAATCAGGTTTCAGCTCCGCCCATCTCTCCACCTCTGATTGGTTGATTGTTTTTTGTTGTCGCGTTTGTTGTCTCCTCCGTCGAATCACAAACCACCACCTCCATCACATCATCGGCCATCTCCTCGCCCTCGACACAATTGGTTGGGCTGTTTGGGATAGAGAGATTCTGATTGGTCAGTCAGCCCCCAGGCTAGCCAATAAGAACAGAGTTAGAGAGAGTAGAGGTAGGAAATGCCGACGAGTCTGTGTTTAAATGTCAGAGTCCAAAACCACGTTACCAAACAGGTCTGTTCTGATCCAGGACTCTGAACTCTGTGCTCTTTTTACACTGCAGCTCCAAGAACCTGGACCCCATCTGGACCAGTACTCATTCCAAACTGTACTAGATCTGGACCAGTACTGATACATACTGTACTGGATCTGGACCAGTACTCATACCATACTGTACTAGATTTAGACCAGTACTGATACATACTGTACTGGATCTGGACCATGTTCCTGTCTTAAAATGAATTTGGATTGAAACTCTATCTTGTTTTATCAGATTATTGATCAGTGATCAATCATTATGGCAGCAGTGTGAAAAGAAGGTCCAATCACCATCCTCTCTCAGGTCATATGATCTGATGTCACGTGATGTGTGTGCCATTCATCTGTGTTGTTGTGGTAACAATGTGGTAGCCATGGACATTTATTTACATTATCAGATTATTCATCCTTTTTGTTTAAATTAAACAACAATCTAAAGCTGAGCAGACGCTGTACGATCTGATTCAACTTTGACTTCCTGTCTACACAGGAAGTAGGACTGCTTGAGATCACCTGCACCATCCCACAGTCCAGTGTACACCTGGTCAGTTTGTAAAGTCCACATTAAACAGGAAGCAGAGAGCAGTTTGTTTCCTCATATTTCCTGTACAAACAGGAAGTTAGGGAATAAAGTGCTGAGAAACCCCGGGGCCAAATCAGCTAATGTTACCTGCACGAGTTAACAGCATTTACTTTACTGTTAGCAGCAGTTAGCTTCTTTTAGCAACAACTCCATAAATCACCTTGGTACCGCTACCATCAATCTTTCTTCTGCCTATCTGGGAGGTTGTGTTTGGTCCCGGTCCAGCTGTGTTCACTTGGAGGCTGCTGAACCCGGTTCTGTAACACGCTAACAGCAGCTACAGCAGCAGTTAGTGGAGTTGAGGAAGAGCAGCCGGGAATGTCACATGGAAAACCAGATAATAATTTCAACATAAAAATATGATCCTGATGATTTTAATACAGATTTCAAAGTTGTGTTTTCGTACAGGTTGTAAAGTTGTGTTTTCATACAGTTTGTAAAGTTGTGTTTTCATACAGTTTGTAAAGTTGTGTTTTCGTACAGGTTGTAAAGTTATCTTTTTGTAACGTGTTTTTGTACAGGTAAAAAGTTGAGTTTTCGTACAGGTTGTAAAGTTATCTTTTTGTAACGTGTTTTTGTACAGGTAAAAAGTTGAGTTTCCATACAGGTTGTAAAGTTGAGTTTTCGTACAGTTTATAAAGGTATCTTTTTGTAAAGTTGTGTTTTCATACAGGTTGTAACATGACTTTTCATACAGGTTGTAAAGTTAATAGGACAGCTGAAGATAGACAGGAAAAGGGGTCGAGAGAGGGATGACATGCAATCAGGTACAGATAGATGGGGCACCAGCTCTACCAGGTGAGCTAACCAGGCGCCCCAACAGGTTATGAAAATTGATGTCATTATTATTTGAAATTGGTTAGTAAAGCTCCGTGTTCAATCATCTAGACTTTGTCTTCTGCCTGTTGGGAATCAGTCAGATCCTCCATTGGTCTCTCTGGGAATTTGTCAGGTGTTCCTCCCTCAGACTGAACCAGCCAATAAGGTGGAAGTCACAATCAATGCAGAGTGAAACCGGGTTTTATTTGTACAGTGTCTGCCCAGATTTATACTACAGAACTTAATGTGGCCTCAGTTTAACTCGAGCCCAAACCTTATCCTGAGTCACTCACAACCAGTAATTTTTCTGGATTCTGACCTGGGTCAGTCTGGTCTGGTCTGTGCCATCCAGCATCAACATACATCATATCACTGTTCATGTCTGTGGACCTTCACCTGACCTGTTCATTGTCATATTCTGTCTTCTGCTCTTCCTCCTCCTCCAGATGACAGCCACACTATGACCAGTGAAACCAGTAGCCTGGTCCAGTCCCACTATAAGCAGCGGGAGTCAGAGCGGGAGGCATTGCCCTACCAGACGGGTCAGCTGCACCCGGCCATTCGAGTGGCCGACCTCCTGCAGCACATCACCCAGATGAAGTGTGCCGAAGGGTACGGCTTCAAAGAGGAGTACGAGGTGAGGAGGACACCATCACACGCACACATTTATATACACATATACACATGTATATCACACACACGCGTTTAGAAAGGTAAAGATCAGAAAGTTTAAAATGCTGGAAGAATTTCATGTTATCACCACAAACACATTGATTGTATATAAAATCTAGTTAGAATCATTTTTATGTCAAATTTATAAATAATTTCCATAGAAATGTTTTTCCGTTGTAGTCATTGGTGGTTTACACAGTGTTATTGTTTGTTACTAGGTAATTTCTAGTGTGTAGAAGTTGACTCCAGGGATGTTGTCAGTGTTTTATTTCATTTATACTTTATATATATAAATAGATAGGCGGTTGCTATGGTGTTACTAGGTAGTTGTAGGGCAGCCCCCACTAAAGATGTTCCTAGTTGACTCATCACTACATGTTTCTGATATCAGAACAAGCAGCAAGGAGACTGAACCTTTAATTAATTTATTCCAACACAGTGTAACATTACACAGTCTGCTTGTTCAACACAAAGAATAAATAACTTCCAAATTCACTGAAACAAATCGTGGCTGATCGATATGATAGATGGTTGTTAGGGGGTATCTATAGATGGTTGTTAGGTGGTATCTATAGGTTGTTGCCACTCAGTGTCACAGAGGTTGTGGGGCTGAGAGTGATTTGTCTGAAACAGTGTTGAAGACACCAGCAGGATCCATTTCATTATTGATTAATCGGCTTCTGCAGTTCATTGATCATTATTCCGTTATAAACAGCTGATGTTTACATGTTTACTGATGCTTCAGTTTGTTGCTTATTGTGAAAAATAGTTTATTGATATTAAATATCAATAAACTATAAAAAATATAGATTGATATTTAGATTCTCAATGAACCGACTAAAGGAACAAACAGTGAACACACCAGTGTGTGCGTTTGTGTTTACCCGTTTTCATCAGTAGAGAAACTCACTAATGGATGTTACTTACCTGAACACACACACACACACCCACACACACACACAGACACACGACATACATTATAGATCTTCCCTCCAGCTAATGGGCCAAAACAGTGTGTGTGTGTGTGTGTGTATTTGTAAGTGTATGTATGTGTGTGTGTGTGTATGTGCGTGTGTGCGTGTGTGTGTGTGCGTGTGTGTGTGTGTGTGTGTGTGTGTGTACTCACTATGTATAATGGATTAGCCCTGAGGGCAGCCCACTAGCACACACACACACACACACACTGAGTATTTTCACCCTCCATTTGCAGAAAGTTAGCGGTGAGGAGTTTTTCCAGTGTTTCTGTCGCACTCTCCGTCCGCCTATCTGTCTGTCTGTCTGTCTGTCTGTCTGTCTGTCTGCCTGTTTAATGGCGGTATGTTTCCGTGCCCACCAGAATAAGCCGGTCAGGTCTTTGCTGAAGGTGGTCTGACAGGCACCAGGATGCAGGGTTCTGATCAGGTCTGCACTGAGAAAAAACAAACTCCTGATCAGTTCATCAATAGTCGTCTAACGATTTCCTGCGTCATGTTCGTTCGTACTAATTAGAGAGAAAATCTTTTAAAATCTTTTAAAACTTTATTTATAAAGAACTGTTCAGAACCAGTAAACAAAGGTTCAGTATAAACGTATGTAACATGAGTTATAATGGATGAACTGTTATTTGATAATAAGTGATCTAAACCCTCATCTTATTATTTTCATTATAAATTATTATACTAAACCCAAAACCCTCCAAAAAAAGATCACAGGTATTTATTTATCATTTATTGTCATTTATTTCCAGATGTGTTGGACATTTATGATCTTTTGATCTTCAGTCCTGGTCCTGGATCACACTGCTGGTTGTGGGGTTCATGGAAACATGCTGATCTGAATGTTTGTTGTGTTGTGTGATCTAACCACACATTATTATTACTTCTACTACATGAACACGTGATGAATTAATGTGATCATTGTGACCTGATCAATAATCAATCATTATCTTTAGAAGAGGATTAGTGCCACCTGAAACCATCATTGAAGATGAATGTTCTGACTTTATGCTCAGGATTTTCATAAACATAAACATAAATGTGGGAATTTGAAGGATTTTAATCCTCTGTAGATTTTAAAGCAGACTGCAGTGATTGATCAATGAATTGATTAGTGATTGCGGTAGTGATGATTGTTATCTCCCTCCATGCTTCTCCTTTACTAATTAATCTGATTGGACAGCTTAACGAGGTAAGACTCCTTCTTGGTTTTCAGATTCTTAACATCATGTGTTCTTGTCAACTAGCTGACAGACGCTAGCTAACTTCCAACACACACTGTCTGTTAGCACTTAGCCACAGTTTATGTTAGCATTAGGTTGGAGTCACAGAGCTCATAAAGACACTTCCTGGTGCTCTGAAGGTTTTCCACCGTCTTCAAACACTCTTTAAATAATCCTCTGTAATCAATATGTTATCCTCCCGATGGTTCGCTGACGCTCCCAGAGCAGCAGGAAGTGTCGGCATGCGCTTTCAGCGTAGCATTTATGCTAACACAAACTGAGGTTCACCATGTCTGTGCACTTCCTTCAGTGAACATCTGTCGCCGACTGGCAGACGAGCATGTTTGTTTGATGGAAAACATTTCATGAGCTGTTGTTTGGTTCCGTTTTTGGATCAATAATGTGAACGCACCCCGTCCAAACTGAACAGCTCCTTATTGATGCTGAGTGACTGTCGATACCAGCGATCAGTCTTTTAATAAGATGGACTCCAGGTCTAACACACCTGTCCTCATGAATGTCTGTGGTGTCAAAGACAGTGAGACAGAAACCAGGGAGACAGGCAGACAGACAGTCCGTCTCACATCTTCACAATTCACAACATATTTTAGAGAAATAAATCGACCAATCACAGAACATTTCCACTTCCATGGAGGTCTAAAGAGGCTTTAGATTCACCTCGTCTCTGCATTACATATTATTATTAGTATTATTATTTTTATTATTATTATTATTAGTATTATTATTAGTATTATTATTATTAGTATTATTATTAGTATTAGTATTATTATTAGTATTATTATTATTAGTATTATT